CAGTCAGAGAGGCCGAATATACAGTGCAGTTGTCCAAATCATAACCGCAGTTCATGGAAGTTCAGTCAGAAGGGAACAGAATGAATATACAGTGCAGTTGTCAAATCATAACAGTTCATGGAAGTTCCAGTCCAGAAGGGAGCAGAATGAATATACAGTGCAGTTGTCAAATCATAACAGTTCATGGAAGTTCAGTCAGAAGGGAGCGAGAATGAATATGGTGCAGTTAATCAAATCACCAACAGTTCATGGAAGTTCAGTCAAGAAGGGGCAGAGGCCGAATATACAGTGCATTTGATAAAATCCGCAACAGTTCATGGAAGTTCAGTCAAGAAGGAGCAGAGGGCCGAATATACAGTGCAGTTGTCAAATCAGGTTCATGGAAGTTCAGTCAGACAGTTCGAATATACAGTGCATTGTCCAAATCATAACAGTTCATGGAAGTTCAGTCAGAAGGGCCAGAGGCCATATACAATGCAGTTGTCAAATCATAACAGTTCATGGAAGTTCAGTCAGAAGGGGCAGAGGCGAATATACAGTGCATTTGTCAAATCATAACAGTTCATGGAAGTTCAGTCAGAAGGAGTTCAGTCAGAAATCATAACAGGGGATCAGAGAGGCCGAATATACAGTGCATTTGTCAAATCACTAACAGTTCATGGAAGTTCAGTCAGAAGGGAGCAGAGGCCGAATATACAGTGCATTTGTCAAATCATAACAGTTCATGGAAGTTCAGTCAGAAAGAAGGAGCAGAAGGCCGAATATACAGTGCATGTTGTCAAATCAAGGAACAGTTCATGGAAGTTCAGTCAGAAGGGAGCAGAGGCCGAATATACAGTGCATTTGTCAAATCAAAATCATGGAAGTTCAGTCAGACAGTTCAGTGCATTGGAGAGGTTCATGGAAGTTCAGTCAGAAAGGAGCAGAGGCCGAATACAGTGCATTTGTCAAATCATAACAGTTCATGGAAGTTCAGTCAGAAGGAGCAGGGGGGGCCGAATATGCAATTGCATTTGTCAAGTAATAACGGATTCCTTGGAAGTTCAGTCAGAGAAGGGAAGAATGAATATACAGTGCGGTTGTCAAATCATAACAGTTCATGGGAAGTTCAATTGAAGAAGGGAGCAGGAGCCGAATATACAGTGCATTTGTCAAAATCATAACAGTTCATGGAAGTTCAGTCAGAAGGGAGCAGAGGCCGAATATACCCAGTGCAGTTGTCAAATCCATAACAGTTCATGGAAGTTCAGTCAGAAGGGAGCAGAGGCCGAATATACAGTGCATTTGTCAAATCATAACAGTTCATGGAAGTTTCAGTCAAGAGGGAGCAGAGGCCGAATATACAGTGCAGTTGTCCAAATCGCAACAGTTCATGGAAGTTCCAGTCAGGAAGGGCAGAGGCCGAATATACAGTGCAAGTTGTCAAATCATAACAGTTCATGGAAGTTCATCAGAAGGGAGCAGAGGCCGAATATACAGTGCATTTGTCAAGTAATAACAGTTCATGGAAGTTCAGTCAGAAGGGGGAGCAGAGGCCGAATATACAGGCCAAAATCGCAACAGTTCCTTGGATTAGTCAGAGAGGGAGCAGTGCCGAATATGTCTGTCAAATCATAACAGTTCATGGAAGTTCAGTCCAGAAGGAGCAGAGGCCGAATATACAGTGCATTGTCAAATAACTAACAGTTCATGGAAGTTCAGTCAGAAGGGAGCAGAGGCCGAATATACCAGTGCAGTTGTCAAATCACAACAGTTCATGGAAGTTCAGTCCAGAAGGGAGCGAGGCCAGAATATACAGTGCATTTTGTCAAATCATAACAGTTCATGGAAGTTCAGTCAGAAGGGAGCCGAATATACGGCTTTTGTGAAATCGTTCATGGAAGTTCAGTCAGAAGGGCAGAGGCCGAATATAGTGCAGTTGTCAAATCATAACGGTTCATGGAAGTTCAGTCAGAAGGGAGCAGAGGCCGAGGGACCATTTGTCAAATATACAGTTCATTGTCAAAATCAATATACAGTTTGTCAAATCATAACCAGTTCATGAGTTCAGTCAGAAGGGAGCCAGAGGCCGAATATACAGTGCAGTTGTCAAATCATAACAGTTCATGGAAGTTCAGTCAGAAGGGGCAGAGGCCGAATATACAGTGCATTTGTCAAATCATAACAGTTCATGGAAGTTCCGTCAGAAGGGAGCAGAGGCCGAATATACAGTGCATTTGTCAAATCATAACAGTTCATGGAATTTCCAGTCAGAAGGGAGCAGAGGCCGAATATACAGTGCATTTTGTCAAATCATAACAGTTCATGGAAGTTCAGTCAGAAGGGCAGGGCCGAATATACAGTGCAGTTGTCAAATCATAACAGTTCATGGAAGTTCCAGTCAGAAGGGAGCAGAGGCCGAATATACAGTGCATTTGTCAAATCTAACAGTTCATGGAAGTTCAGTCAGTCAAAGACGTTCATGGAGTTCAGTCAGAATAGCAAAGTGCATTTGTCAAATCATAACGGTTCCTTGGAATTCAGTCAGACAGGGCCAGATCATGGAAGTTCACCTGTCATGGAAGTTCCAGTCAGAAGGGGCAGAGGCCGAATATACAGTGCAGTTGTCAAATCATAACAGTTCATGGAAGTTCAAAGTCAGAGGGAGCAGGCCGAATATACAGTGCATTTGTCAAATCATAACAGTTCATTGGAAGTTCAGTCAGAAAGGGAAGAGGCCGAATATACAGTGCATTTGTCAAATCGCCCAACAGTTCATGGAAGTTCAGTCAGAAGGGCAGAGGCCGAATATACAGTGCATTTGTCAAATCCATAACAGTTCATGGAAGTTCAGTCAAGAAGGGCAGAGGCCGAATATACAGTGCATTCAAATCATAACAGTTCATGGAAGTTTCAGTCAGAAGGGCAGTTCATGGAAGTTAACAGTTCATGGAAGTTCAGTCAGAAGGAGCAGAGGCCGAATATACAGTGCATTTGTCAAATAATAACAGTTCATGGAAGTTCAGTCAGAAGGGAGCAGGCCAGAATATACAAGTGCATTTGTCCAAATCATAACAGTTCATGGAGTTCAGTCAGAATATACATTTGTCAAATGACAACAGTTCATGGAAGTTCAGTCAGAAGGAGCAGAGGCCGAATATACAGTGCATTTTATCAAATCCATAACAGTTCATGGAAGTTCAGTCAGATGGGGAGCAGAGGCCAGATATACAGTGCATTTGTCAAATCATAACAGTTCATGGAAGTTCAGTCAGAGGAGCCCAGAGGCCAGATATACAGTGCATTTGTCAAATCACCAACAGTTCATGGAAGTTCAGTCAGAAGGGCAGAGGCCGAATATACAGTGCATTTGTCAAATCATAACAGTTCATGGAAGTTCAGTCAAGAGGAGCAGAAGGCCGAATATACAATTGCATTTTGTCAAATCCATAACAGTTCATGGAAGTTCAATCAGAGAGAACTGAAGGCCGAATATACAGTGCATTTAATAAGTCCATAACAGTTCATGGAAGTTCAGTCAGAGGGAGCAGAGGCCGAATATACAGTGCATTTGTCAAATAATAACAGTTCATGGAAGTTCCAGTCAGAAGGGGGCAGAGGCCGAATATACAGTGCATTTGTCAAAATCATAACAGTTCATGGAGAGTTCAGTCAGAGAGGGAGCAGGGGCCGAATATACAGTGCATTTGTCAAATCAACAGTTCATGGAGTTCAGTCAAGAGGCAGGAAAGGCCGAATATACAGTGCATTTGTCAAATCATAACAGTTCATGGAAGTTCAGTCAAGAAGGAGCAGAGGCCAAATATACAGTGCATTTGTCATCAAATCATAACAGTTCATGGAAGTTCAGTCAGAAGGAGGGCAGGAGGCCGAATATACAGTACATTTGTCAAATCCCATAACGGATTCATGGAAGTTCAGTCAGAAGGGGCAGAGGCCGAATATACAGTGCATTTGTCAAATCATAACAGTTCATGTGGAAGTTCAGTCAGAAGAACAGAAGGCAGAAATGAATATACAGTGCTATTTGTCAAGTAATAACAGTTCATGGAAGTTCAGTCAGAAGGGGCAGAGGCCGAATATACAGTGCAGTTGTCAAATCATAACAGTTCATGGAAGTTCAGTCAGAAGAGGGCAGAGGCCGAATAACATTCATTGTCAAATCACCAACAGTTCATGGAAGTTCAGTCAGAAGGGGAGCAGAAGGCCGAATATACAGTGCATTTGTCAAATCATAACAGTTCACTTGGAAGTTCAGTCAGAGGGAACAGAGGCCGAATATACAGTGCATTTGTCAAATCAATAACAGTTCATGGAAGTTCAGTCAGAAGGGCAGAGGCCGAATATACAGTGCATTTGTCAAATCATAACAGTTCATGGAGAGTTCCAGTCAGGGGAGCGAGGCCGAATATACAGTGCATTTGTCAAATAATAACAGTTCATGGAAAGTTCAGTCAGAAGGGCAGGGCCGAATATACGGCATTTGTCAAATAATAACAGTTCATGGAAGTTCAGTCAGAAGGGAGGCCCCGAATATACGGCCGAAATCATAACAGTTCATGGAGTTCAGTCAAATCAGAGGCCGAATACACATGCAGTTGTCAAATGGAAGTTCAGTCAGAAGGGAGCAGAGGCCGAATATACAGTGCATTTGTCAAATCATAACAGTTCATGGAAGTTCAGTCAGAAGGGAGCAGAGGCCGAATATACAGTGCATTTGTCAAATCATAACAGTTCATGGAAGTTCAGTCAGAAGGGAGCAGGAGGCCGAATATACAGTGCATTTGTCAAATCATAACAGTTCATGGAAGTTCAGTCAGAAGGAGCAGAGGCCGAATATACAGTGCAGTTGTCAAATCATAACAGTTCATGGAAGTTCAGTCAGAAGGGAGCAGAGGCCGAATATACAGTGCAGTTGTCAAATCATAACAGTTCATGGAAGTTCAGTCAGAAGGAGCAGAGGCCGAATATACAGTGCATTTGTCAAATCATAACAGTTCATGGAAGTTCAGTCAGAAGGAGCAGAGGCCGAATATACAGTGCATTTGTCAAATCACAACAGTTCAAAGCAGAGGCCGATAACAGTGGTTCAGTTCAAGGAGCAGAGGCCGAATATACAGTGCATTGTCCAAATCAAACAGTTCATGGAAGTTCAACGGATAGTGGTTGTTAAGTTCAGTTCAGAAGCGACAGAGGCCGAATATACAGTGCATTTGTCAAATCATAACAGTTCATGGAAGTTCAGTCAGAAGGGAGCAGGGGCAGATATACAGCAGTGCATTTTCAATATAACAGTTCATGGAAGTTCAGTCAGAAGGAGCAGGAGGCCGAATATACAGTGCATTTGTCAAATCAGTTCATGGAATTCAGTCAGAAGGAGCAGAGGCCGAATATACGGTGCATTGTCAAATCATAACAGTTCATGGAAGTTCAGTCAGAAGGGAGCAGGGGCCGAATATACAGTGCATTTGTCAAATCATAACAGTTCATGGAAGTTCAGTCAGAAGGGAGCAGAGGCCCAAATATAAGGTGCATTTGTCAAATAAACTAACAGTTCATGGAAGTTCAGTCAGAAGGGAGCAGAGGCCGAATATACAGTGCAGTTGTCAAATCATAACAGTTCATTCAGTCAGAAGGGAGCAGAGAGGCTGAATACAGTCAAATCATAACAGTTCATGGAAGTTCAGTCAGAGGGGAGCAGAGGCCGAATATACCAGTGCATTTGTCAAATCATAACAGTTCATGGAAGTTCAGTCAGAAGGGGCAGAGGCCGAATATACAGTGCATTTGTCAAATCATAACAGTTCATGGAAGTTCAGTCAGAAGGGAGCAGAGGCCAGATATACAGTGCAGTTGTCAAATCATAACAGTTCATGGAAGTTCAGTCAGAGAGGAGCAGAGGCTGAATACAGTGCATTTGTCAAACCAATAACAGTTCCCGTCTAGTTCATCAGAAGGGGAGGAGCCGGAATATACAGTGCATTGTCAAACCACAACAGTTCATGGAAGTTCAGTCAGAAGGGCATAGGCAGCTGTCAAATATAACAGTTCATGGAAAGTTCAGTCAAAGGAGCAGATACGAATATACAGTTCATTTGTCAAATCATAACAGTTCAAAGTTCAGTCAGAAGGAGCAGAGGCCGAATATACAGTGCATTTGTCAAATCATAACAGTTCATGGAAGTTCAGTCAGAAGGGAGCAGAGGCCGAATATACAGTGCATTTGTCAAATCATAACAGTTCATGGAAGTTCAGTCAGAAGGGGCAGAGGCCGAATATACAGTGCAGTTGTCAAATCATAACAGTTCATGGAAGTTCAGTCAGAAGGGAGCAGAGGCCGAATATACAGTGCATTTGTCAAGTCAATAACAGTTCATGGAAGTTCAGTCAGAAGTAGAGGAACAGAGGCCGAATATACAGTGCAGTTGTCAAATCATAACAGTTCATGGAAGTTCAGTCAGAAGGGAGCAGGAGGCCGAATATACAGTGCATTTGTCCAAATCATAACAGTTCATGGAAGTTCAGTCAGAAGGGAATGGAGGCCGAATATACAGTGCATTTGTCAAATCATAACAGTTCATGGAAGTTCAGTCAGAAGGGAGCAGAGGCCGAATATACAGTGCATTTGTCAAGTAATAAAAAGTTCTGGGAAGTTCAGTCAGAAGGGCAGAGGCCGAATATACAGTGCATTTGTCAAATCCATAACAGTTCATGGAAGTTCAGAAGGAGCAGAGCCGAATATACCAGTGCATTTGTCAACCAAGGGGAAGTTCCAGTCAGAGAGGCCGAATATACAGTGCATTTGTCAAATCATAACAGTTCATGGAAGTTCAGTCAGAAGGGAGCAGAGGCCGATATATATTTAATCAAATCACTAATAGTTCATTTCAGTCAAAGGAGTGAACAGTTCCTTGCATTTGTCAAATCATAACAGTTCATGGAAGTATAGAGGGGAGCAGGGTCGAATATACAGTGCATTGTCAAATCATACACAGTTCATGGAGCAGTTCAGTCAGAAGTTCAGCAGAAGGGAGCCGAATATACAGTGCATTTGTCAAATAATAACAGTTCATGGAAGTTCAGTCAGAAGGGCAGAGGCCGAATATACAGTGCATTTGTCAAATCATAACAGTTCATGGAAGTTCAGTCAGAAGGGAGCAGAGGCCGAATATGGTGTGGATTTGTCAAATCAAATTCAAGTGTACAGTTCAGCCAGGAAGTTCAGTCAGAAGAAGGAGCAGGGCCGAATATACAGTGCAGTTGTCCAATCATAACAGTTCATGAAGTTCAGTCAGAAGGAGCAGAGTCCGAATATACAGTGCATTTGTCAAATCATAACAGTTCATGGAAGTTCAGTCAGAAGGGAGCAGAGGCCGAATATACAGTGCATTTGTCAAATCATAACAGTTCATGGAAGTTCAGTCAGAAGAAGGGCAGAGGCCGAATATACAGTGCATTTGTCAAATCATAACAGTTCATGGAAGTTCAGTCAGAAGGGAGCAGAGGCCGAATATACAGTGCAGTTGTCAAATCATAACAGTTCATGGAAGTTCAGTCAGAAGGGAGCAGAGGCCGAATATACAGTGCATTTGTCAAATCATAACAGTTCATGGAAGTTCAGTCAGAAGGGAGCAGGGCCGAATATACAGTGCATTTGTCAAATCATAACGGGAAGTTCCAGAAGGAAGGCTTCAGTGGAAGAGAATATCAGTCGAAATCACCAACAGTTCATGGAAGGAGCAGAGGCCGAATATTTATACAGTGCATTTGTCAAATCATAACAGTTCATGGACGTTCAGTCAGAGGAGCAGAGGCCGAATATACAGTGCATTTGTCAAAGTAATAACAGTTCATGGAAGTTCAGTCATTTGAAGGAGTCAGAGGCCGAATATACAGTGCATTTGTCAAATCATAACAGTTCATGGAAGTTCAGTCAGAAGGGAGCAGAGCCGAATATACAGTGCAGTTGTCAAATCATAACAGTTCATGGAAGTTCAATCAGAAGGGCAGAGGAGGCCGAATATACAGTGCATTTGTCAAAGTAACAGTTCATGGAAGTTCAGTCAAGAAGGGAGCAGAGGCCGAATATACAGTGCATTTGTCAAATCCCATAACAGTTCATGGGAGTTCAGTCAGAAGGAGGCCGAATATACAGTGCAGAGGCCCAGTCAATATACAGTGCATTTGTCAAATCGTAACAGTTCATGGAAGTTCAGTCAGAAGGAGCAGAGGCCGAATATACAGTGCATTTGTCCAAGTATAACAGTTCATGGAAGTTCAGTCAGAAGGGAGCAGAGGCCCATACAGTGCATTTGTCAAATCATAACAGTTCATGGAAGTTCAGTCAGAAGGAGCAGAGGCCGAATATACAGTGCATTTGTCAAATCATAACAGTTCATGGAAGTTCAGTCAGAAGGGAGCAGAGGCCGAAATACAGTGCATTGTCAAATCATAACAGTTCATGGAAGTTCAGTCAGAAGGGAGTAGAGGCCGAATATACAGTGCATTTGTCAAATCCATAACAGTTCATGGAAGTTCAGTCAGAAGGAATATACAGGCAGTTGTCAAATCAGGCATGGAAGTTCCAGAATATACAGTGCAGTTGTCAAATCATAACAGTTCATGGAAGTTCAGTCGAAGGGAGCAGAGGCCGAATATACAGTGCATTGTCAAATCATAACAGTTATGGAAGTTCAGTCAGAAGGGAGCAGAGGCCGAATATACAGTGCATTTGTCAAATCATAACAGTTCATGGAGTTCAGTCGGGGAAGAGGCCGAATAACAAAGTGCATTTGTCAAATCATAACAGTTCATGGAAGGGAGGGACAGAGGCCGAATATACAGTGCATTTGTCAAATCATAACAGTTCATGGAAGTTCAATCCAGAAGGGGCAGAGGCCGAATATACAGTGCATTTGTCAAATCATAACAGTTCCTTGGAAGTTCAGTCAGAGGAGCAGGAGGCCGAATATACAGTGCATTTGTCAAGTAATAACAGTTCATGGAAGTTCCAGTCAGAAGGGAGCAGAGGCCGAATATACAGTGCAGTTGTCAAATCATAACAGTTCATGTAGTTCAGTCAGAAGGGAGCAGAGGCCGAATATACAGTGCGGTTGTCAAATCATAACAGTTCATGGAAGTTCAGTCAGAAGGGCAGAGGCCGAATATACAGTGCATTTGTCCAAGTAATAACAGTTCATGGAAGTTCCAGTCAGAAGGGGCAGAGGCCAGATATACAGTGCAGTTGTCAAATCATAACAGTTCATGGAAGTTCAGTCAGAGGAGCAGAGGCCGAATACCAGTGCAGTTGTCAAATCATAACAGTTCATGAGTTCAGTCAGAGGGCAAGGGCCGAATATACGGTACAGTTGACCAAATCATAACAGTTCATGGAAGTTCGGTGAAGGGGAGCAGGGCCAAAGATACCGTGCATTTGTCAAGTAATAACAGTTCCTTGGAAGTTCAGTCAGAAGGGAGCAGAGGCCGAATATACAGTGCAGTTGTCAAATCATAACAGTTCATGGAAGTTCAGTCAGAAGGATCAGAGGCCGAATATACAGTGCAGTTGTCAATCACCAACAGTTCATGGAAGTTCAGTCAGAAGGGAGCAGAGGCCGATATACAGTGCATTTGTCAAATCATAACAGTTCATGGAAGTTCAGTCAGAAGGGGAGCAGAGGCCGAATATACAAGTGCATTTTGTCAAAATCATAACAGTTCATGGAAGTTCAGTCAGAAGGGGCAGAGGCCGAATATACAGTGCATTTGTCAAATAATAACAGTTCATGGAGTTCAGTCAGAAGGGAGCAGAGGCCGAATATACAGTGCAGTTGTCAAATCATAACAGTTCATATACAGGAAGTTCAGTCAAGAAGGGAGCAGAGGCCGAATATACAGTGCATTTGTCAAATAATAACAGTTCATGGAAGTTCAGTCAGAAGGAGCAGAGGCCGAATATACAGTGCATTTGTCAAATCACAACAGTTCATGGAAGTTCAGTCAGAAGGGAGCAGAGGCCGAATATACAGTGCATTTGTCAAATCATAACAGTTCATTTGTCAAAAGTCAGAAGGAGCAGAGGCCGAATATCAGTGCATTTGTCAAATCGCAACAGTTCATGGAAGTTCAGTCAGAAGGGAGCAGAGGCCGAATATACAGTGCATTTGTCAAATCATAACAGTTCATGAAGTTCAGTCAGAAGGGGAGCAGAGGCCAGAATATACGGTGCATTTGTCAAATCTCAAACAGTTCATGGAAGTTCAGTCAGAAGGGAGCAGAGGCCGAATATACAGTGCATTTGTCAAATCAACAGTTCATGGAAGTTCAGTCAGAAGGGAGCAGAGGCCGAATATACAGTGCATGTTGTCAAATCATAACAGTTCATGGAAGTTCAGTCAGAAAGGAGCAGAGGCCGAATATACAGTGCATTTGTCAAATCATAACAGTTCATGGTAGTTCAGTCAGAGGCCGAATATAGCATTTGTCAAATCATAACAGTTCATGGAAGTTCAGTCAGAAGGAGCAGAGGCCGAATATACAGTGCATTTGTCAAATCAAGGCAGTTCATGGAAGTTCAGTCAGAAGGAGCAGAGGCCGAATATACAGTGCAGTTGTCAAATCATAACAGTTCATGGAAGTTCAGTCAGAAGGGAGCAGAGGCCGAAATATACAGTTCATTTCAGTCAAAGGAGCAGAGGCCGAATATATATGCAACAGTTCATGGAAGTTCCAGTCAGAAGGAGCAGAGGCAATATACAGTGCATTGTCAAGAATATTCATGGAAGTTCAGTGCAGAGGCCAATACAGTGCATTTGTCAAATCATAACAGTTCATGGAAGTTCAGTCAGAAGGAGAGGCAATATACAGTGCCGTTGTCAATATAACAGGAAGTTCAGCATTTGTCAAATCATAACAGTTCATGGAAGTTCAGTCAGAAGGGAGCAGAGGCCGAATATACAGTGCAGTTGTCAAATCATAACAGTTCATGGAAGTTCAGTCAGAAGGGGCAGAGGCCGAATATACAGTGCAGTTGTCAAATCATAACAGTTCATGGAAGTTCAGTCAGAAGGGAGCAGAGGCCGAATATACAGTGCATTTGTCAAATCATAACAGTTCCTGGAAGTTCAGTCAGAAGGGAGCAGAGGCCGAATATACAGTGCATTGTCAAATCATAACAGTTCATGGAAGTTCAGTCAGAAGGGAGCAGAGGCCGAATATTTGTCAAATCAGTGCATTTGTCAAATCATTTGTCAACAGTTCATGGAAGTTCAGTCAGAAGGGAGCAGAGGCCGAATATACAGTGCATTTGTCAAATCATAACAGTTCATGGAAGTTCAGTCAGAAGGAGGGCAGAGGCCGAATATACAGTGCATTTGTCAAAACCATAACAGTTCATGGAAGTTCAGTCAGGAGCAATACAGTGCCGAATATACAGTGCAGTTGTCAAATCAGGCTAACAGTTCATGGAAGTTCAGTCAAAAGGGAGCAGAGGCCGAATATAGTGCATTTGTCAAATCACTAACAGTTCATGGAAGTTCAGTCAGAAGGAGCAGAGGCCGAATATACAGTGCAGTTGTCAAATCATAACAGTTCATGGAAGTTCAGTCAGAAGGAGCAGAGGCCGAATATACAGTGCATTTGTCAAATCATAACAGTTCATGGAAGTTCAGTCAGAAGGAGCAGAGGCCGAATATACAGTGCATTTGTCAAATCATAACAGTTCATGGAAGTTCAGTCAGAAGGGAGCAGAGGCCGAATATACAGTGCATTTGTCAAATCATAACATGGAAGTTCAGTCAGAAGGGCAGAGGCCGAATATACAGTGCATTTGTCAAATCATAACAGTTCATGGAGTTCAGTCAGAAGGGAGCAGAGGCCGAATATACAGTGCATTTGTCAAATCATAACAGTTCATGGAAGTTCAGTCAGAAGGGAGCAGAGGCCGAATATACAGTGCATTTGTCAAATAATAACAGTTCATGGAGGAGTTCAGTCAGAAAGTTCAGGAGGAGAGGCCGAATATACAGTGCATTTGTCAAATCATAACAGTTCATGGAAGTTCAGTCAGAAGGAGCAGAGGCCGAATATACAGTGCATTTGTCAAATCATAACAGTTCATGGAAGTTCCAGTCAGAAGGAGCAGAGGCCGAATATACAGTGCATTTGTCAAATCATAACAGTTCATGGAAGTTCAGTCAGAAGGGAGCAGAGGCCGAATATACAGTGCATTTGTCAAATCATAACAGTTCATGGAAGTTCAGTCAGAAGGAGCAGAGGCCGAATATACAGTGCATTTGTCAAATCATAACAGTTCATGGAAGTTCAGTCAGAAGGGGCAGAGGCCGAATATACATTTGTGCAGTTTTCAGTCAGAAGGGAGCAGAGGCCGAATAATAACAGTTCCTAACGGAGTTCATGGAAGTTCAGTCAGAAGGGAGCAGAGGCCGAATATACAGTGCATTTGTCAAATCATAACAGTTCATGGAAGTTCAGAAGGGAGCAGAGGCCGAATATACAGTGCATTTGTCAAATCATAACAGTTCATGGAAGTTCAGTCAGAAGGGAGCAGAGGCCGAATATACAGTGCATTTGTCAAATCATAACAGTTCATGGAAGTTCAGTCAGAAGGGAGCAGAGGCCGAATATACAGTGCATTTGTCAAATCATAACAGTTCATGGAAGTTCAGTCAGAAGGGAGCAGAGGCCGAATATACAGTGCATTTGTCAAATCATAACAGTTCATGGAAGTTCAGTCAGAAGGGAGCAGAGGCCGAATATACAGTGCATTTGTCAAATCATAACAGTTCATGGAAGTTCAGTCAAGAAGCCAGAAGGGAGCAGAGGCCGAATATACAGTGCATTTGTCAAATCATAACAGTTCATGGAAGTTCAGTCAGAAGGGAGCAGAGGCCGAATATACAGTGCATTTGTCAAATCAACAGTTCATGGAAGTTCAGTCAGAAGGAGCAGAGGCCGAATATACAAACTATAACAGTTCTGCAAGTTCAGTCAAAGGGAGCAGAGGCCGAATATACAGTTCATGGTCAAATCATAACAGTCATGAGAAGTTCAGAGAAGGGAATATAATATACAGTGCATTTGTCAAATCATAACAGTTCATGGAAGTTCAGTCAGAAGGGAGCAGAGGCCGAATATACAGTGCATTTGTCAAATCATAACAGTTCATGGAAGTTCAGTCAGAAGGGAAGTTCAGAGGCCGAATATACAGTGCATTTGTCAAATCATAACAGTTCATGGAAGTTCAGTCAGAAGGGAGCAGAGGCCGAATATACAGTGCATTTGTCAAATCATAACAGTTCATGGAAGTTCAGTCAGAAGGGAGCAGAGGCCGAATATACAGTGCATTTGTCAAATCATAACAGTTCATGGAAGTTCAGTCAGAAGGGGAGCAGAGGCCGAATATACAGTGCATTTGTCAAATCAGTTCATGGAAGTTCAGTCAGAAGGGAGCAGAGGCCGAATATACAGTGCATTTGTCAAATCATAACAGTTCATGGAAGTTCAGTCAGAAGGGAAGGGAGCAGAGGCCGAATATACAGTGCATTTGTCAAATCATAACAGTTCATGGAAGTTCAGTCAGAAGGGAGCAGAGGCCGAATATACAGTGCAGTTGTCAAATCATAACAGTTCATGGAAGTTCAGTCAGAAGGGAGCAGAGGCCGAATATACAGTGCATTTGTCAAATCATAACAGTTCATGGAAGTTCAGTCAGAAGGGAGCAGAGGCCGAATATACAGTGCATTTGTCAAATCATAACAGTTCATGAGTTCAGTCAGAAGGGAGCAGAGGCCGAATATACAGTGCATTTGTCAAATCATAACAGTTCATGGAAGTTCAGTCAGAAGGGCAGAGGCCGAATATACAGTGCATTTGTCAAATCATAACAGTTCATGAGTTCAGTCAGAAGGGAGCAGGGCCGAATATACAGTGCATTTGTCAAATCATAACAGTTCATGGAAGTTCAGTCAGAAGGGAGCAGAGGCCGAATATACAGTTGTCAAATTTGTTCAAATTCAGTCAGAAGGGAGCAGAGGCCGAATATACAGTGCATTTGTCAAATCATCAGTTCATGAAGTTCAGTCAGAAGGAGCAGAGGCCGAATATACAGTGCAGTTGTCAAATCATAACAGTTCATGGAAGTTCAGTCAGAAGGAGCAGAGGCCGAATATACAGTGCATTTGTCAAATCACAACAGTTCATGGAAGTTCAGTCAGAAGGGCAGAGGCCGAATATACAGTGCATTGTCAAATCATAACAGTTCATGGAAGTTCAGTCAGAAGGGAGCAGAGGCCGAATATTTTGTCAAATCATAACAGTTCATGGAAGTTCAGTCAGAAGGAGCAGGGGCCGAATATACAGTGCATTTGTCAAATCATAACAGTTCATGGAAGTTCAGTCAGAAGGGAGCAGAGGCCGAATATACAGTATGCAGTTGTCAAATCATAACCATAACAGTTCACAGGAAAATTCAGTCATGGAAGTTCAGTCAGAAGGAGCAGAGGCCGAATATACAGTGCATTTGTCAAATCATAACAGTTCATGGAAGTTCAGTCAGAAGGGAGCAGAGGCCGAATATACAGTGCATTTGTCAAATCATAACAGTTCATGGAAGTTCAGTCAGAAGGGCAGATGCCGAATATACAATGGACGGTTGTCAAATCATAACAGTTCATGGAAGTTCAGTCAGAAGGAGCAGAGGCCGAATATACAGTGCATTTGTCAAATCATAACAGTTCATGGAAGTTCAGTCAGAAGGGAGCAGAGGCCAAATATACAGTGCATTTGTCAAATCATAACAGTTCATGGAAGTTCAGTCAGAAGGGAGCAGAGGCCGAATAACAGTTCATGGAAGTTCAGTCAGAAGGAGCGAGCCGAATATACAGTGCATTTGTCAAATCATAACAGTTCATGGAAGTTCAGTCAGAAGGGAGCAGAGGCCGAATATACAGTGCATTTGTCAAATCATAACAGTTCATGGAAGTTCAGTCAGAAGGGAGCAGAGGCCGAATATACAGTGCAGTTGTCAAATCAAACAGTTCATGGAAGTTCAGTCAGAAGGGAGTTCACAGTGCATTTGTCAAATTCAGTCAAGAAGGGAGCAGAGGCCGAATATACAGTGCATTTGTCAAATCATAACAGTTCATGGAAGTTCAGTCAGAAGGGAGCAGAGGCCGAATATACAGTGCATTTGTCAAATCATAACAGTTCATGGAAGTTCAGTCAGAAGGAGCAGAGGCCGAATATACAGTGCATTTGTCAAATCATAACAGTTCATGGAAGTTCAGTCAGAAGGGAGCAGAGGCCGAATATACAGTGCATTTGTCAAATCAAGGGAGCAACAGTTCATGGAAGTTCAGTCAGAAGGAAGTTCAGCAGAGGCCGAATATACAGTGCATTTGTCAAGTAATAACAGTTCATGGAAGTTCAGTCAGAAGGGAGCAGAGGCCGAATATACAGTGCATTTGTCAAATCATAACAGTTCATGGAAGTTCAGTCAGAAGGGAGCAGAGGCCGAATATACAGTGCATTTGTCAAATCATAACAGTTCATGGAAGTTCAGTCAGAAGGGAGCAGAGGCCGAATATACAGTGCATCGGTCAAATCATAACAGTTCAAATCATAACAGTATACAGTGGTCAAATTCATGGAAGTTCAGTCCAGAAGGGAGCAGAGGCCGAATATACAGTGCATTTGTCAAATCATAACAGTTCATGGAAGTTCAGTCAGAAGGGAGCAGAGGCCGAATATACAGTGCATTTGTCAAATCCATAGAGGCCGAATATATGTTCAAATGTTCACGAAGTTCAGTCAGAAGGGAGCAGAGGCCGAATATACAGTGCATTTGTCAAATCATAACAGTTCATGGAAGTTCAGTCAGAAGGGAGCAGAGGCCGAATATACAGTGCATTTGTCAAATCATAACAGTTCATGGAAGTTCAGTCAGAAGGAGCAGAGGCCGAATATACAGTGCATTTGTCAAATCATAACAGTTCAGAGGAAGTTCAGTCAGAAGGGAGCAGAGGCCGAATATACAGTGCATTTGTCAAATTAACAGTTCAAAGTTCAGTCAGAAGGGAGCAGAGGCCGAATATATGTGCATTTGTCAAATCATAACAGTTCATGGGTTCAGTCAGAGAAGGAGCAGAGGCCGAATATACAGTGCAGTTGTCAAATCATAACAGTTCATGGAAGTTCAGTCAGAAGGGAGCAGAGGCCGAATATACAGTGCATTTGTCAAGTAATAACAGTTCATGGAAGTTCAGTCAGAAGGAGCAGAGGCCGAATATACAGTGCATTTGTCAAATCATAACAGTTCATGGAAGTTCAGTCAGAAGGAGCAGAGGCCGAATATACAGTGCATTTGTCAAATCATAACAGTTCATGGAAGGGAGTAGTCAGAATATGCAGGCATTTGTCAAGTAACAACAGTCGAATATACAGAGCCGCAGTTTTGTCAAATCATAACAGTTCATGGAAGTTCAGTCAGAAGGGAGCAGAGGCCGAATATACAGTGCATTTGTCAAATCATAACAGTTCCTTGGAAGTTCAGTCAGAAGGAGCAGAGGCCGAATATACAGTGCATTTGTCAAATCATAACAGTTCATGGAAGTTCAGTCAGAAGGGAGCAGAGGCCGAATATACAGTGCATTTGTCAAATCAAACAGTTCATGGAAGTTCAGTGAAGGGAGCAGAGGGAAGTTCAGTCAGAAGGGAGCAGAGGCCGAATATACAGTGCATTTGTCAAATCATAACAGTTCATGGAAGTTCAGTCAGAAGGGAGCAGAGGCCGAATATACAGTGCATTTGTCAAATCATAACAGTTCATGGAGTTCAGAAGTTCAGTCAGAAGGATTTGTCAGAGCCGAATATACAGTGCAGAGGTCAAATATAACAGTTCATGGAAGTTCAGTCAGAAGGGAGCAGAGGCCGAATATACAGTGCATTTGTCAAATCATAACAGAAGGGAGCATGGCCGTTCAGTCAAATCATAACAGTTCATGGAAGTTCAGTCAGAAGGGCCGAATATACAGTGCATTTGTCAAATCATAACAGTTCATGGAAGTTCAGTCAGAAGGGAGCAGAGGCCGAATATACAGTGCATTTGTCAAATCATAACAGTTCATGGAAGTTCAGTCAGAAGGGAGCAGAGGCCGAATATACAGTGCATTTGTCAAATCATAACAGTTCATGGAAGTTCAGTCAAGAAGGAGCAGAGGCCGAATATACAGTGCAGTTGTCAAATCATAACAGTTCATGGAAGTTCAGTCAGAAGGGAGCAGAGGCCGAATATACAGTGCATTTGTCAAATCATAACAGTTCATGGAAGTTCAGTCAGAAGGGAAGCAGAGGCCGAATATACAGTGCATTTGTCAAATCATAACAGTTCATGGAAGTTCAGTCAGAAGGGCAGGGCCGAATATACAGTGAATAAATACAGTTCATGGAAGTTGTCAAATATACAGTGCATTTGTCAAATCAGTTTCATGGAAGTTCAGTCAGAAGGGAGCAGAGGCCGAATATACAGTGCATTTGTCAAATCATAACAGTTCATGGAAGTTCAGTCAGAAGGGAGCAGAGGCGAATATACAGTGCATTGTCAAATCATAACAGTTCATGGAAGTTCAGTCAGAAGGGAGCAGAGGCCGAATATACAGTGCATTTGTCAAATCATAACAGTTCATGGAAGTTCAGTCAGAAGGGAGCAGAGGCCGAATATACAGTGCATTTGTCAAATCATAACAGTTCATGGAAGTTCAGTCAGAAGGAGCAGAGGCCGAATATACAGTGCATTTGTCAAATCATAACAGTTCATGGAAGTTCAGTCAGAAGGAGCAGAGGCCGAATATACAGTGCATTTGTCAAATCATAACAGTTCATGGAAGTTCAGTCAGAGGAGAAGGAGTTCATGGAAGTTCAGTCAGAAGGGAGCAGAGGCCGAATATACAGTGCATTTGTCAAATAACAGTTCATGGACAGTTCATGGGAAGTTCAGTCAGAAGGGAGCAGAGGCCGAATATACAGTGCATTTGTCAAATCATAACAGTTCATGGAAGTTCAGTCAGAAGGGAGCAGAGGCCGAATATACAGTGCATTTGTCAAATCATAACAGTTCATGGAAGTTCAGTCAGAAGGAGCAGAGGCCGAATATACAGTGCATTTGTCAAATCATAACAGTTCATGGAAGTTCAGTCAGAAGGGAGCAGAGGCCGAATATACAGTGCATTTGTCAAATCATAACAGTTCATGGCGGAAGTTCAGTCAGAAGGGAGCAGAGGCCGAATATACAGTGCATTTGTCAAATCATAACAGTTCATGGAAACAGTTCATGTTCATGGAAGTTCAGTCAGAAGGAGCAGAGGCCGAATATACAGTGCATTTGTCAAATCATAACAGTTCATGGAAGTTCAGTCAGAAGGGAGCAGAGGCCGAATATACAGTGCATTTGTCAAATCATAACAGTTCATGGAAGTTCAGTCAGAAGGGAGCAGAGGCCGAATATACAGTGCATTTGTCAAATCATAACAGTTCATGGAAGTTCAGTCAGAAGGGCAGAGGCCGAATATACAGTGCATTTGTCAAATCATAACAGTTCATGGAAGTTCAGGAGCAGAAGGCCGAAATCATAACAGTTCATGGAGTTCAGTCAGAGGCCGAATATACAGTTCATGCAGTTGTCAAAAGGAGCAGAGGCCGAATAACAGTTCATGGAAGTTCAGTCAGAAGGGAGCAGAGGCCGAATATACAGTGCATTTGTCAAATCATAACAGTTCATGGAAGTTCAGTCAGAAGGGAGCAGAGGCCGAATATACAGTGCATTTGTCAAATCATAACAGTTCATGGAAGTTCAGTCAGAAGGGAGCAGAGGCCGAATATACAGTGCAGTTGTCAAATCATAACAGTTCATGGAAGTTCAGTCAAAGGGAGCAGTTCAGTGCATTTGTCAAATTCAGTTCATGGAAGTTCAGTCAGAAGGGAGCAGAGGCCGAATATACAGTGCATTTGTCAAATCATAACAGTTCATGGAAGTTCAGTCAGAAGGGAGCAGAGGCCGAATATACAGTGCATTTGTCAAATCAGTTGTCAAATAACAGTTCATGGAAGTTCAGTCAGAAGGGAGCAGAGGCCGAATATACAGTGCATTTGTCAAATCATAACAGTTCATGGAAGTTCAGTCAGAAGGAGCAGGAGGCCAGAATCATAACAGTTCATTTGAAGGGAGCAGAGGCCGAAATACAGTGCATTTGTCAAATCATAACAGTTCATGGAAGTTCAGTCAGAAGGGCAGAGGCCGAATATACAGTGCAAATGGTCAAATATAACAGTTCATGGAAGTTCAGTTATACAGTGCAAATCAAATCATAACAGTTCATGGAAGTTCAGTCAGAAGGGAGCAGAGGCCGAATATACAGTGCATTTGTCAAATCATAACAGTTCATGGAAGTTCAGTCAGAAGGGAGCAGAGGCCGAATATACAGTGCATTTGTCAAATCATAACAGTTCATGGAAGTTCAGTCAGAAGGGAGCAGAGGCCGAATACAGTGCATTTGTCAAATCATAACAGTTCATGGAAGTTCAGTCAGAAGGGCAGAGGCCGAATATACAGTGCATTTGTCAAATCATAAACAGTTCATGGAAGTTCAGTCAGAAGGAGCAGAGGCCGAATATACAGTGCATTTGTCAAATCATAACAGTTCATGGAAGTTCAGTCAGAAGGGAGCAGAGGCCGAATATACAGTGCATTTGTCAAATCATAACAGTTCATGGAAGTTCAGTCAGAAGGGAGCAGAGGCCGAATATACAGTGCATTTGTCAAATCATAAAGTTCATGGAAGTTCAGTCAGAAGGGAGCAGAGGCCGAATATACAGTGCATTTGTCAAATCATAACAGTTCATGGAAGTTCAGTCAGAAGGAGCAGAGGCCGAATATACAGTGCATTTGTCAAATCATAACAGTTCATGGAAGTTCAGTCAGAAGGGAGCAGAGGCCGAATATACAGTGCATTTGTCAAATCATAACAGTTCATGGAAGTTCAGTCAGAAGGGCAGCAGAGGCCGAATATACAGTGCATTTCAGTCAAATCAGAGGCCGAATAACAGTTCATGGAAGTTCAGTCAGAAGGGAGCAGAGGCCGAATATACAGTGCATTTGTCAAATCATAACAGTTCATGGAAGTTCAGTCAGAAGGGAGCAGAGGCCGAATATACAGTGCAGTTGTCAAATCATAACAGTTCATGGAAGTTCAGTCAGAAGGGAGCAGAGGCCGAATATACAGTGCATTTGTCAAATCATAACAGTTCATGGAAGTTCAGTCAGAAGGGAGCAGAGGCCGAATATACAGTGCATTTGTCAAGTATTTGTCAAATAACAGTTCATGGAAGTTCAGTCAGAAGGGAGCAGAGGCCGAA